TCCCTTCTCCGAATCTGTTACCTGTCATGTACCATCTATTATCAATTATCCACTACCCATGATCTATTCTGTACTATACAATCTGGCTTTAGTCCACAGAAACCTATGTTCCATATACATATAGTCGATCATTGTCTCGTTATCTGCTACATGGTATAATTTACATCGCAAAATATGATATAGCATAGTATGATAAGATAAGATACTATATTACAGTGCCGTTTTCAATTTGTTTTCACGAGTCCCCGCTCCTCGGACTGCGTCTCGTTTGTGCTGCTGGCCTCGCGACAGGAATTACAATGCTTCGCTTTGAACATAAAATACAAGCAACAGGAATTTCAATGCTTCGCTGTGGGAATACAAAATATCAAATATATACTGCTCAACACATATACCTTTGGGATATTACTATATCTGCGTTTGCCTTGCTGATACTCGGATTTCCGGACAAGCTTGCTATTGTGCATTCAAGCAATGACGAGTTATTTGCGCCAGCGGCTTTCGCACGCTAAGTTGACCTGCAGCGACGCCGAATGTGAGATGGAATTTCAATTACCCCAATTCGTACTCGTTATTCCTGGCTGACATTGAGGATGTTGCCGATTGGATAAATATTATGAAGACACGCTGCATTTCAGTACGATTGCTGTTCGCCCCGTCGGCCCGGTCGAGATTGAAGGCACAGCTCAAGCCAATGGTTTAACGTTGAGTTTAGCAAGACCCTCCAAAGAAGTAGATCATCACCACCATGATCATCGACACAATTCGTGTATCTCTGCGTCCTATTTTCGGAGTCCTTCTGCGGGTTTTGCGCGGGAAAGTGGGATCCAGTGTGGCTGCGCAACAGTTACAACCCTAAACCCTAAAGCCCTCACCCCAATGCAACTGCTGATCTGAATTCCAGACGAAGCTTCTCTGAACAGTGGCTGCAGGGCTCTAGGGCTGGCCTCTTGTATGTAGGAAACGATAGCGATAGGGTATTACCGGATTTGTGCGTCAACAGGAGTCTGCAGGTTGTCACCAACTACATCATGTTTGTGATGGTCTGGATTGTTGCCAGCGTTCTGCTCATACTCATTGTCGTGCTCATCGTGATTATTCTTGCGACGACAAGGATAGGGAATGTCCATCACTTGATGCCGCTGTTCGGAAGAAAGAGTTCCAAGCCTGTGATATTCAGCTGCAGAACTACCTTGCAAGCTTCGTCTCCTACGGCCACCTATCGAGGGCTGAATCTAGCCTCATCTTTGCTTTGAGGCGCAACTGCTCGGCCCCAAGGCGGCGATGCGACTACGACTGCCAACGGCACCCCACGACCACCACGAATATTGCCACTGCTGCCAATCCTCCTCCTCCTCCTCCTCCTATCACCTCTACCAGTACCAGTACCACTACCACTACAACCACGACGATTGCTGCTACACTTCTCCAAGTTATTGAGACGGTCTCCGAGGAGGCATTGGAATGACCTCATGGAATCCTCCGCGTGCCCGAGTATGACTCTTACAAGGGATTGCAATCTGTCGATGCCTAGGTATAGCATGGCTCACGAAAGCGGGCATGAGATCTGGACTTTCCCCAGCTGCAAAAGTCACAACCGCAGCACTACAAGGCCAACACGCACCCGCGGCTCTGAGCCCAAAAAGAAACGCAAAGAAAAGTCCCGACTCCGAGCTGGGGTCTGCTGTGGCATGACGGCATCGTTGTCGCTCGTCATGTCGACCTGGCAATCGCGGCTTGCTGCTTTGGCTTTCTCAGCGGGCACGTGGGCTGCTTTTGGGGTTTCTTAGGCGCTCTGGAGCCCGAGACCCTCGAGGCCCTCGAGGCGCTGGGGCGCACAAGCGCCTCGTCAGCTTGAAGGGGCGGATTCGGCCGCCAGCGTTGCGCCTGGGCCAGGGCTTCAACCCTTCAGCGTTGTCTCTTTGCAGTCAAATGTTGTGGACATGCTTGAACTTCTCGTAAGCTGCTCTTTCCACTCAGCCGCCAGCCACGGATTGCCTCAGCTAAACAAGGGTTTATGGGAATGCAGCTTTCCAACCTGAGTGCTCTTGCTCACAGCAGATTGGGCTTAGTGTCGAAGTATCAGGCCTAACCAGTCAAGTTTCACGCCAAGGCTAAGCATAATGCGGCCGGGCAGAAAAACAATCTTAAGTAGCATCATCATTTCAAGCTGCACGGCTGGATCCATGGCAGAAATCCGGGAAGCAGCTCCTGTGCGCAATGCAAATCACAGCAACTCCCTTGCCTCTGAAACGCGCAAGAAAGCGAGCCGTCCTGTCGTGCTCCTCGAGGGTGTCTCCCGCGTTATTGGTACTGGGGACGTCTCCTCCAGGATGAATTCAAGCAAAGCTCGACCAGACCGCCAAGCAGATAAAGAGCAAGCCGTCATGGTCTGGAAGCTCGGGTCCCAAAACAAAGCGCCCTGGGCCCGCGTCCTGGGAGCTCATGACAAGCAGGTTGTCCAGAGAGGCACTCCGAGATCGATGCCTCGCCTGCACGCAGCTTCGACGAACCAAGTCCCACCCCAGGGGTTAAGCAATCTCCTACAAATTCATCTTGTCTACTAGAGGCTACTCACACCCCCCGAAGGCACGAAAGCCTTGCAGGCTTTTCAACGAACTTCAGCCATGTGCAGCCTCGTCGAGCTCTTGCTGCAGGAGGCGTCCCGAGCTTTGCTCCTCCTCACGAGTTCCAGGACGTCAAGGCGACCACAACCACTATAATGTAATCCAATATTATTATGTAACAGAACACAATATAGTACAATGTACTATAATGTGATGTATCCACGGCTGCATTAAGAACAGCTTGTACGCTCCCAAAAACTCCAGATTCCTCAGCCTGCCCCAAAACCCCGAGCATTCTTGTTCACTGCCTGAAGAGCTGCTCGCAGACCTGAACCGGATCACAGGGGCATATTGTGTCAGGCCTCTGGCTCGAGGAAGAGACCGCTGGAACACTGCAATGCCTACATGAACAACTTCGAAAGAGAAGGATTTGTGACCGACGATGCCACTCGAAGGCTAGATTCTGGGAGCTGGAGGCTCGGTTTGCCGAATTTCTCACTTCTTCTTCAAACTAATCATGGAAAACCTCAGCCAAACATCTGAGTCTGAGAATGCGGCTGCTCTCTGCATTGCGTCGTTCCCGCAGGGACGATCTTGGAGGCAACAGCTGTCTCCAGAAACAACACTGGGCTTGATTTAGCAAGCAATAAGCAAGCTTCAGAGGACCCCGCCGCAGATGCTCAACGTCGGACTTGAACATGTCACGCTCTTTCTCCAGGGCCGCCTCAGGCATCTGCAGACATCGTGGCACAACAAGAGCTTCCACGTCAGGTTCGGGCGACACGTTCATCTGCCTCCTGCAGCTGGGTCTGCACCTCTGGATGCATCCGAGAAGTGCGCCAAATGCAAGTAGCGAGGAGTCGACTATAAACAGATCGGGGTACGCATCACTCCACACCAAAGAGTAGGGTGTGATATGTCTGTATGCGGGCATCTTCTGCGATTTACACACATGTGTATGTCTGTATGTATAAGTATCTGTATCTGTATCTGTATATGCATATGTAAAGGTATATGTATGTGTATATGTATATGTATATGTATACGTGTGAACATATGTATGCATGTATGTATGTATGTATGTATGTATGTATGTATGTAAACCATCTTTCCGGAGTCTGGCCGTATAGTTTTCCAAAAGATGGTGCTTTTGGGCTTTTTGTTGTTTCCACCCAAAATCAACTTTTTCCTAGGAAAAAATTGGTTTTTTGGCCTAAAACCATCTTTTTCCTAGGACAAAGTTGGTTTTTCCACCGAAAACCAACTTTTTCCTAGGAAAAAGTTGGGTTTTTAGCCCAAAACCAATTTTTTCCTAAGAAAAACTGGCATTTCATACCAACACCAAATTGTTCCTAGCAAGAGCGTGTATTTCATTTGTTGTTTGTGCGCGTTACGAATTAGTGTTGCCAATAAGGTTCGAGTGGCATTGCTATTGGGATTCGGTTCCGCTTAGCATTAATACTCTACAATTGGTAAGAACCAGTACATTATTCGAACCAGTTCTGGGCTACATAGAGAGCTAGTACTGCAAGTTTAAGACAGGCCAGGACCCAGGATATCAGGCTACCACTACGATTTCTTCTAGCTGACTGAAGTTGTAAATTGAAAAAGAGAAACATCGGGGTCAAATTATAGGTGGTACTAAACCTACTATGGATCGCCTTAGGGCTGCTGTCAGGGCGAATATTACGGTAACCATTGACAGAAGGTTGGTATCCAGTACAGGCTTAACCTTAAGGTTAGCATGTGTATATACACATAAATGTACATACACACATACGGGCAAGTCCGGCAGCAAATCCGAGATGATCATATAGTACATACTACCGTGAGAAAGGGGGTGCCACGTACAATATGTGGGGGTAAACAAACATATGCTGGTACAATCCCTAAAACTATCTGAGGCCAAGGGTCGGGGTTTCTCATTAAACCATTATTCGGATTGCTATGGAAGGATGTATCCTGTGCAGTACGAAGGTTGCCAATGGGAACAGCTTACGGGTAATATTGAGTTTGCAAGTAAGGTCCATCTTGGAGTCAGATCCAACATTCGCGCTGCCAAGGGGACTGCAATATCCTTACTATCGGGGGGCCAATCAGGCTGATGTATGTTTCTCTAGAGTCTGTCAATGGTCTCCTCCATCTGACCACCCGACGACCGACGCTCATACTTCTCTTCTTGGATGCTGGACGGCAGCGCCTGAGAATGTTATTGTCTGTGTAGAACTTCTTCTGGATGTAGCGATTAGCAGTCACCTTGGGTGCTGCACATAGCACACGGTGTTATCGACTCAACGCAGTAGAATCCCTAAGTCTTTCAAGTCGACTCTGGCTCTCTTGAAAGCGTTTAGGAGAAATGACAGCCGGTGGGGCAGCACGGCTGACATGTCACTCAAGAAGGCCGGGCGTAGGCCCAATCGTATGAAATAAGGCCTATGCCGGTGCTGCCAGATTGATCTCAATCATGTAAGCCTCTCAGAAGATGGAGTTTTGACCGGATATGCACCCACGTTGAACATGCAACGGAGCCATGCTATGGCCTGCTGGTACTTGTTCTTGAGCTTCTGACCGCGTGGAATCTGGCGAGGCGGTGCGCAATCTGTGATTTCGCATTTTACCATGATGCGAAGCTTCCCTCGGCAGCCAGTGAGTTCTATGCGTAAAGCCAAAGGCCTGGCGGCACGTACAGGAATACGGACGACAAGAACGCCTAAACTCTAAACCCTGAAGTTCAACCCCGGGCCTCTCCATACTCCTTCATCTCATATTCGAGGCTGACCACGGATTGTCCGTCGATGGGACTCCTCCTGCATTCGATGCACCCGAGACCAGACATCCGTCGCCAAAAAACTCTCAAACGTCCGGGTCGATGAGAGCTCTGCAACAGGCCTGGGGGTGATCTTGATGTTCCTGCAGGACATCTTCTTCCTCGGGGCAGATGCTGCCCTTAAACCCTAAACCCTAAACCCTAAACCCTGCTGAGGGTCTGAGGGTCTGGGGGCTTGTGGTTTAGGGCAGTGGTTTAACAAGGGCCTGCCTGCGAGAGGCTTCAAGACATTGCCAGCCAGGCTTGTGCTTTGCGTGGGAAGTCTGAAAGCTGTTTGATTGCTGGTCAGGTGGTGATTGGAAACACAAGCCACAACACTGCCGAACAGAAGATGTTGTGGTCCACAAAGAAGCCACAAACGACGGCAACTACACTTTAAATCGTAAACTGGCAGTAACACATCAACCTACACCCTAGCAAGGCCCAATCCGCACTGGAACAAACTACAAAAAATGCGAATCAATGTGCCGATCCCACTCAGCCTCAGCGACGGGCCGCAGCCGCAATGTGCCGTCAAAACCTCCACCTAGTTCCTACACCGAGGCAAGAGCTTGAAGAAAAACATGTACTCCGCCAGAATCTTTTTCATGTCGGTGGAGGTTCGCCTTAAGCAACCACGGGGATGGTATCCATGGTTGAACTTGGTGATCTTCTGGTACAGAACTGCGGTTGATGAAGTAGACATGTGTGCAAATCAATTTGCCCTTGTGTGCACATAGGAAGAAACCAAAAGTCACTTGTGCTTGTCTTGCGCGCGGCCCCCAGCTTAGAGTACTTGAGCGGGAGGTCGATGCACAGTTGGCATCTGAAGACTGCTCCAAACCAACCGAAAGCGCTTAAAATAACAAACCAAAAGACTTGCCTGAAACAAGCTCCAATTTCTCAGGCAGCTCCGATGCAGGTGATGTAGGGGACATCATGAGCCATCTGTGTATTGCATTACAGACTGGTGCATAGGGTTGTGCTACGATTGCCTTCATCGAAACCTGTTATACTTTGTGGCATCCTGACAAGGTGTCAGTCGGCATCGCACATATGCACTGCTGAAGCGCCTCTAGATGCATTTTATGTGTCTGCATCCCACATTCTACTTGCCCTTAGATGAATAGCCACCTACATGCACACATACATCCATTTATGGTTGCTGCACGATATGATGACATACCATCATGCCTTGCAGCATGCCATACCAGGTTTCCATACATTCTGGCATTTGAGGCTCGTGGTTAAGCACACCTACATATGGAGAGCGAGAGAGAGAGAGAGAGAGAGAGAGAGAGCGAGAGAGAGATCCGGTAGCATAATGTGTAGATATATATGTATGTACACCCACACGTGTGTTTTGGTTCATCATGCATGTATATGTGTGTGTATGCATATCTATGTATTTTGTAAATATAAACATAGATAAATAAATAAATAAGTAAATAAATAAATATATATATATACACATACATATACATATATATATATATACATACATATAACAGACGTTCGAGCGTACACTTAGGTATGGGTATTTGTAGGTTCATAGACATTGAACGGCAAAAACGGGTATGATAAAACATGTGGATTTGTACATTGTATATACAAGTACAGTTTCAGTGTCTCTCACCTGCATCTAAGACCCAGGCATTGCAGGGCGCTTGAACATCACCCAGTAGGTATACCTGAAAACAAGATCTGCTTTGCTTCTCTTCTGGGGACTGGGCTGCCCTACAAGTGCTCGCAATGGTGCCTCTTGCGGCCGCCGACGGGATCCTCGTCGACGTTTCCGGAGTACTGCCTGTTATAGACATCCTGCAGGGAGGAAAGCTGACAAATCCAGCCTTGCCCGTCAGATCTAAAGCCCAGAATGCGTGGCTGAGTAGGTCACAGACATGCTCTTCGATGTATGAACAGCGGAGCCGCAGATGCTGCATCCCAGCACAACTCTCATGCAAAACCGTGCATACAAGTCCTCCGAATAATCATGCTCGCATCATCATGTTGCATATCAGTATTAGTATCATCATCATCACCATCATCATCATCGTTGATGTCATCATCATCATCATCACCATGCTCATCCTCATCATCACATCATCACCGTCATCATCAGCATCATCACAGAATCATCATCATCAGCATCAGCAGCAGCATCATCATCATCATCGGCGCCAGCATCACGCTCACCACCGTCATGGTGATCATGGCTGTAATCGTCGTGTAAGCCATCATACAGACCACCGTGGTCATCATGACTGCCCCAGACACCACCGCCATCATCTTCGCGGTAAGAATCATCAGGTTCATCTTCGTCGTCCTAGAAACTGACATTAAAATCATCGCGACAACCAGCAGCACAACGACGTCTATCCACATCATCGCCATAACCATCATCGCCGCCGTCATGACCTCCGTTCATCACCATCATCGTCATTCAAGGTAGCGCCATCAGGTTGCTTTCATGTTCCACCACCACCAACCACCTCCACCAACCACCTCCACCAACCACCACCACCACCACCAGCAGCAGTTGCCATCATCATCATCATCATCAACGTCATCATCATCATCATCCTCATCATCATCATCATCGACAACAACATCAACAGCATCCTCATCCACTTCAGCATGGTGACCAAGGTGATGGCGACGATGCTGATGATGGTCATAACGATGATAATCATAAGTTCGATGAACGTCTTGCCCTCGCTCCTTCTCCACCGTATTACATGATCATCTTCGGCATCAGCATGCTTCGTAAACATGATCTCAGCACCATCGCCATGACCACCGCGAGCTGCTGGTGCCCCGAACCCGAAACGAACTAGCACCTTAACATCTCAGTGGCCCATGTCTCCTCGATAGCAGGCAGCTTGTCCAGTTGGATGTCCGGTTTGTGGGACTGCCGAGACAACAAGATTCGCGGCTTTGGGATCGAGACGTGGTGGATCAGGATTTAGGCTTCGGGCGGGTCTCAAGGTTGAGAATCGAGGAATCGAGAGTCAGGTTTAAGCGAAATCGCGCCTTCGTGGTATAAGGAATGAGCCTGAGACCCACAGATTTGGATCTGCGGCTTCGAGTTGGCAGCACATCGAAATTTGGTGCTAATTGCAGTGCTGCTGCCGCTGCTGCTTCTGCTTTTGTTGTTGCTCTCGCCGCTGCTGCTGCTGCTGCTGGTGGTGTTGTTGTTGCTGATCCTTAGTGTTTTGTTGATGTTGTTGGCTTGTCGTTGACATCGCTGTGCTGGTGACTGCGCTGGCGCCGCAGCCGCCATGGTCGTTGCTGGTCTTTCATGTCGACAATACGGAGATCGCTGCATCTCTCATACTGTTTCGGCTGCCAATATTGTTGAGGTGGTTCTCGTTGTCGCTTGTGTTCCCTGTGGTGGCCATGAAAGATGGCGATGGTTGTTTCCGTGGATGCTGCATGGTCACGTTCGTAGTTCTGTGCATGTCCTCATCATAGCATTCAGCTTATCGAATACTACTGTGCTTCTACTGCTGTGACCGACAGACGGGCATTTATGTGCATTGCTCTTGTCGCTCCTGGCAAGACACAAGGATGGTTGTTTGCTTCATTCCTCGGTCCCGAGCCTCCGAACCCCTAAACTGAAACCCGGAAATAAACTCCAGAGCTCCAAGCCTGCTTGTCTGCGCGGACTTGCTCTCGGACCTCTTGTCTCCTCCGAGCAAGGCGCTCACGGTCCTGTGCACGAGCTCTGGGTTTCGGATTTAGGCTTTTAGGGTTTAGGGTTCGCGGTTGAAGGTCTGGAGTTCCGGACTGGAAGACTTGGGTCTTGAGCTTCGGATAGGGAGTTAAGTAGTATGCACGGCAGGGTCCATCTGGTGTGCTATAGGCTTGCGATGTACAGTACAGGTTTTCTTCAATGCAGCTCCAATGCAAAGGAATCGATCACGAGCGCAACATCCACAAGCGTAAATCTAAAGCTCAAAGACCCCGACCCAATGCAAATGAATACTGGAATGAACCTATCTCTCCAACTTATCTCGGTTTCTATCCGTCTCTCTTTGAAGTGCTCTGCCTGTCTAGAGTCTACACATCTTTGCATCAGTTGGTCATCCGCTCGTACAGTGCACGGCAGGTCCTCGTTGCTGTAATACGGAGAGGTGCCCCTGCAGCTCGGTTGACATGCACATGCGGCTAAGCCACCAACATGCCGTTCGTGAAGAACGAGGCGGCAAGACCGTGAACCCGAAACGTCTCCCAGATCCTGAAATCTGAAATCGCTCAGCCCCAACATGACGGCAGGTGTGTGACATCGAAAATTAAAGATAACGAGGACTGAGAGGACTAGCTACAACATCAGCACAGAAGTAAGAGTACTAGCAACAATCATAGGCATTGGTGTAGCCAAAAAGTAATCATCAACGGCAGGACAGCTATGCAGCGGCTGCCTCCTGGTTTGCACTTTGGGCCCGCGAGCCGGCCTGGCTTTGAGGTGTCTGTGCTTGTGCCGCTACCCGGACGCTTCGCATCCATCCGCAAGTGCACCGTGAGAAAGAAAGAGAAAAGAAAGATTGACACAAGCACGCAAGCACATACGCACACACATACACACACCCCTGCACGCCCGCGCGGGCGCATGCTCGGACAAACAGCGGCTGAACCCGCGTGCGAGGCCAGCGATGTTCCGATGCCAGCGAATGCCAACAGTCGAATGAGGTGCCAACTTGAAGTCTTGTGGCCATGCGCTATGGAAACAGCTGTCCAGGTGCACTACTGCAGGTATGTTCACCTGGCAGCATCGTACAGAGTTTCGCGTGCAGTATGATGAGACCTCGGGCCTCTTGCGGATTGCAAGATGCAGTGTCACACAAACAAATCAACGCATGAAATCCATAAACCCGGAAACTTGAAGACCCTGACGGCCTCTAAACTCTAAACCACATGCTCTTCTTCTGAGGGATTGTCGAAAGTGCGAGACAAAGACTTGGACGCGTCAACATCGGAGCTTTCGGCGAAGGACCACGACGACAGGACCAGAACACTAATGAAAGAGGGAGAAACAACATACTCACAGATATGGAATAATTCTGCGCGATGTTCGTCCAAGGCGCGTACTTACAGCAGGAAGGGAAAGGATTCTATTGGTAGACGCGGGGGGGGGAGGGGGGGTACGTGCTTTAGCCTAAACCCTTCTGATTCTTTTGGCAGGCCGCAGATCCTGCAATCGTACGTTCGTGTGGCTTGCAGTTCGCAAGAAGTGCCTCAAGCCCGCTGCCGGTTGCAGTTCTTGCAGTCCTAAGATAACCCATCTCTGGGAGGGACAGTAGTACACACTCGCTCTTGCAATCGAAACATTCAGATGCAAGGAGAATCCCTGCTGTAAAATCTGCCACAACGAGAAAGAGCTTCGATACAGGTTAAATGAATTTGTGAGAATGATGTGAGCAATGAGACTGGAAGCGCGTCTCGAACTGCCCGGGAAAAAAACCTAGGATTTCTGGCACAATTGCTGCACCATCCAAACTAGACCAACAAAGCTGTTCAGGTCCTGGGGCCTCTCGATTGAAAGCGTCCAAGCAGATCTCTTTCGGGGCGGGGAACAGCAACGCAAATCTTCTTTGCAACAGTAATGTAAAATACCGAAATCGAAAACCTTCTGAGGTTGTGGGATTGAAAGCATCCGAACACACTGTTTTTTTGGAGCAGTACGGCACTCTATGTAATTTTTTGCACAAGTGCGCTTCTGTCCCCAGAAACAACAACCAATCTTGTGGGAGGCCTATAGTCGGGAGAAGAAGTTTGTTCGGGACAGTACAGCGCTTTTGCAAAGAAGTTAGTTTTCTGGCAAAGGTCCTGTAGCGTCCCAGAACAACCAATGCAATTGTATCGGAGCCTTGAGGCCCCAGGACCTAAACAATATAACGAAGTGTGCACAACATTTGTGATAACTTTCTCGCGAAAACGATATACTTCCCAAACCAATTAATTCTGGCTTTTTGAATGTTTCAACTACTGTTTTACGGATTGTTTGGAACAGTACAGAACTTTGATAAGCAAATGCTTTTTCGGGACAGCGCAGCATTTGTGCAAGCTTTCTTGTGTTTTCCCAAAAATCCATGCAATCCTGTTGGAGGCTTGTGGTCGGGAGTCTCCAAGACTCGAGCAACTTGTTGTCTTGCACTGTTTAGACAGTGCAGCGCTTTTGCAAAAAAACAGTTGGCAATTTTGGGACACTAAAACAGTGTTGCTAGCTTCTTGCAAAAGTGCTATGTGGCCGCTAGGTGCGGATACCAATGATGCCCTGGCTTATGCTCATGATGCATGTCAGGCTGCTACACGAAATCCATCCTCGACAACCCTGAATCCCGATAAACGTCTTTCCAACATGCCCGCTGTTTGTCGAGGGCGCGTACTTGCAGCAGGAAGGTAATGGATCTTATTGATGAATGGGGAAAGTGGGGGCGCCACATGCATTTATGTACGTACGTATCTGTGAATGTAGATCTTGCATATGTTGTGTATATATAAGTGCTTACACGTGCATGCATACATACAAATGCACATACATATACACATACACGTACACATACGCATTCATAGGCATTTGCACAAAAACACGTAGATACATACACGAGTACCTACCTACCTACCTACCTACCTACCTACCTACCTACCTACCTACCTACCTACGTCCATGCATGCATGCATGCATGACATGCATACATACAAGCATGACAACCTACATTCATACCTACATACACACCTACATACAGACCGACATACATACATACATACATACATACGTAAATAAACAAATAAACAAATAAATGCCTACATACAGACAGGCATACAGACAGACATATACATACATATACAGTATACAGTGACACCTATATCTGTATACACCTTGTGTGCATATATAAACATACATACATGTTGCCTTGACAGACAGTCATCATGCGACGACTGTTGATGTGTCTGTGGGCTCATGGTGGAGCTTCAGGCCAATACTCAGCAATGCTACATGCAGTCTTCTCATGTTGCTTGCAAGAGCGAGAACGTTGAATAATTCTCCGCCAGTTCCATCAGGTCCAATCCGCAACAGTGTGACAGGCCTCGCCACCAACGAAGGCTCCTTGCAACGCCAGCTGTTTCAAGTCGGACCATTACGAGGTTTGCCAGACTACCGTTGCATGACCAGTGCTTCTTAAAATGATTGTCCCACAAGATGACAGGCTGTAGCAACACCGGGCTGGATCCCGAGAGCAGGGCATGTTATCTGGCAGACCAGACGAGCCCCACTCGAGTGAGCCGGAGATCAGGCTCCAGGTGAATAGCGGACCGTACCCAGAAAGAGTCCTTGAGTTTCAACTGCCGTCTAGAGATGATGATGGTGATGATGATGATGATGACGATCGAGGGTTCACGCACATCGTATGTTAAGGTCTGACTTTGTAAACGTTGACTTGGGATGTGTTGTACTCTAACACTGTCGAGCGACCTATTTGTCACAACAACGTTTAAAGAGAACATAATCTAGTGCAAACGCGACTCTACTTGAGTCAGAGGGCATTGTCCCCCTGAGCCCCATGATCCGTAATCTGTCTGAAATCATCGTCGGGAGCTACCTCCTCCACCAACGGGCTGCGTAAGCCCGGCTGACCTTCCAATCCGTAGTCAGGCAAAATGAGGATTAAGGCCTTACTTCAAAGCTCAGAGTCTCAGAGTTCAGGAACTCAGCTACTCGGTGACAGGACACCGGAGTTTGGGAAACAGGGTGCGGTTCAGGGTTCAGCAGTGACAGTAGTCGCGGCAGCA